GCCCTCCGGGGACGGCGCCCGCGGGGTGGGCGCGGTGGGGCGGCCGCGCCCTCCCGCCTCCCCATTGTCTGGCGGCGGCGCTGCCCCCGCGGCCGGGGTCATCGCCCGTCGGGGGCGGCGGGCTCCGGGCGGGCTCGGGGAGGCAGAGCCGTGGCATCCCTTGGAAGCGGACTGTGCGTGCCCCCCGCCCCCGACTCGGCCCGCAGTGGGGTCAAATCCCTCCGAGGACGAACTCCTCTCCCAATCCTTCCTTCCTCCACCCCGTGCCGGGAGCCTGCACGGGCTTTGGTCGCCTCAGGGCGGAGGAAAATTCTGACTTGTGAGTCAGAAAAGAGAATCGAGAAGTTCAGTCCCGGTGCACCCAGAGGAGCCGGCGAGTTCCTGCCCGCTGTCACCGCTGGCGTTCAGGAGGACGGACGGACGGACGGACTGACAGACTGACGGCAGGCAGAGAGCCATGAAGTTCTGGCTCCAGAGTTATCTTGCATCCCGTGGCGTTGCGGTGCGGGGGCGAGCAAGAAGGAGCAGTACAGTGTATGTGCAGGCAAAGTTGGGGAAGATGTCTGGTTTACTCCTCCGGGGGTGCCTGGGTTTTGGGTGCGTTCTGATGCTCAGCTCTCCCCTATACCAGGATGCGCAGCACTGGAAACCAACACCAACTTCAATAAATCATGTAATGGAGGCAGTTCTGGATTTCTGAAAGGGCTCAGAATATCTGCAGTAGTGAATGTTACCTGGTAGGTACTTGCACTTTATTTCTGAGCTGCATGGTAGGTTAAATAGTTAATGGAAAGATGGGGAAGTTTACTGTGTAGAAAGTGTAATGTAAAATAGCAAAGGCTGAGATGTCTTGATCTGCAAGCGAGCATAGGTGCCACTTACTCTTAAAATAAGACATATTCAAAGAGTATATTGAGCATTTCAAAGTGCATATAAGCATTGTGTAAATAGTGGATTTTGTTATGAAACTTGGTACATGAAAACAAATATTCCCTCAAACATAGGAATGAGAGGGGAATTTTAAAAGCTGTGCTGTTGGTTTCCACCAGCAGTCTGTTTTTTGTTTTTATTCAGAAGGGTTTCATGCCAAAAAAAAGAAAGCTTGTGAGTACTTACAGAAACCCTGTTTAAAACAACCTGTGTCATGTAGACTAGAGGACTGCCCTAAATTAAGACCTCTTGGAGCAAAAATGCATAATTTAGAAACCCTTTTGTTACTTTCTTTAAACATTGCCAGCAAGGCAGTCAGTTCCGCTGGTGGTGTTAAATGAATTCCCCTGAGCGGATTAGAAGTAGATGCCATTTTGTATAACTGAAATTATTTGCTTTTAAATTTAGGCTAGTGGTGTTTGTATCTTGGCTAGACAGAAAAGCCCTCTGCTATGATATTTGGATAACGTTTACTAGGATTGTCCCCAAACTTGGCTTGGGGAAACACAGTACTTTGAGGTAGAGGTTTCCTTTGTGAGGCTTACTTTTCTACTTTCCTAATGTTTCTTATGGCTCTGTTCTGGATTGTTTCGTCTCTTGCAACACCTTTCTTGATGTGAGCGCTTTAGCTGGATCCAGTGTCCTGATATCTAGCCTTAACTGCTGTTGTTTGTAACTGTTGTTTGTTACAGGAATAGACAATATTTATCACAAAGTTTGTCATGACACCTTTGGAGTCTTAGAGCTGTGTGTTGAACAGTTCTCCCTTTTGTAGATTCTCCACACTGAAGAATTTCTGTCAAATAATGGACTTTGTAATACTGCTAGGATTCCTTTTGTTCCTAATGTACCCAGAAGGCTGTTTCTTGTGTCTTTTGCTTCACTGGGCCGTCTGTAGCATTTCAGTTAAGCTTATTGCTGTGGCTCAGATTTACCCCTGGGTTTCCCACGATTTGTTTATAAGTAGTCTGAGGGAAGGGTTTAAATTTTGGGTTAACTTTCTCATCTAGTTGTGATTGGTGACCCATTTGTTTGTATGTAACTTTAGAAGAGTCTTGTTTGAAAAACAGTTGTTCATCTTTGGAGTGAGATTCTTTCCTTACATCTGAGTGCAGGATTTTTTGCAGCTTTATGAAGCTGGAATTTTTAAAGAACTAAGTACACATTACCTGTGGGTTTTTTTGTTTGTGAATAATAAATACTACTGAGGCACAATCACTTGCAGCTAAGCTGTGGCTAACCTTTATTTTGGTGATCAGTTTCTCTTTACTTACCAAGCTGAGATCTAGTAAAGATTTCACAGTATCAAATTCAGAATTTTTATGTTTTCTAATTTTTATAAATCCTGAGCTTGCTGTAAAATTCTCAGAATGATCAGTTAAAATCCTGTGTGATAACAGTCTTGGAGTCATGGCGTGAGGGAGTGTTCTGAACATTTTTAGCTGAGTGCATGGACATGCTGTTCTCTTCTGTATGTAAATAGTCAATATTCCCTCTCCTTGTGCTTTAGATGCAGGGTCATTGATCCATAAATGTCCAAGATGGTTTGCTTCTGAGTTGTCAGGGACTTGTAAACAAGTGATGCAATTTTCAGTTTAGTCCCATTTTCCCTTTTGTTTGCTTCCTATTTCCTAAATAGGCAGCAGTAGTGAGTGTAGCATTCCACTTGTGTAGCTCCCCACTACCTGTCAGTAGTGTCACCTTTGCTGAATATACACCTCTAAGAATACAATTTTCTGTTTTTATTTAAGTTTCTAATATTGTCAAATTAGGCATTAAAGGGATGTGACTACTTATGTTTTCAGCATTATTAGTTCTATTAATTCTAATTTGCTGTCTTTTATTCCAATTCGTCTTTTCTCTTTTTTTCTCTCTTTTCTCTTTTTTCTCTCTTTTAACTTTTTTCTCTTCTCTTTTTTCTCTGCTTTTTTTTTTTTTTTTTCATGGCTAGTTGAGGACTTTCCCAAATAGTCAAACCATTTTGCTGCATAAACAGTTCTTTATTTTTCTGTGGAGGTGGAAGCCACCAAAATGATACATTTCCTTATCCTGTACCAACCAGATGGCATTTCATAGTTCTGTGCCTTGCACCACTTTCATTGATGGTTCACTTCCAGTTCTGTGGTCTTTCTGTCAAGGAACTGGATGGCACTTCAGGGGGTCCGCTCAGGTCTTTATCATATCCTTCAGAGTTCAGTGAACTGTAATGTATTTCTTAGAACAGTGCCTGTCCTATCAGTAGATTCTTTCTAACCAGCTTCAGAGATCAGCCCAAACTGAGAAAAAGTCGGCTATTGTCACTTGTTAGAAGGTGTGTACCACTCTGTTATCCTTAAGAGCTTTGAGATCATAGGAGATGTTACAGTTCAGTATCATTCACTGTAAAGAGTACAATTTAAAGGGGCAGAACATAGCCTATATTTATTGCACCATTAAGATTATAAGACATATTGTCATGCTAAAGCACAGAAGAGTGGAAAATTGCTGACGACTAAAGGAGGAGCAGATGTAGCGTGACTGGAGAACCTTCAGGAAAAATTGTAAAGAACTTTCAATACTGCTGCTGTTTGCACTTCTTAAAAGATCTAAAAGGTAGCAAAGAACGTAATGTTGCAAACATTCTTTAGCATAATCTCTGCTTGTGCCTGACAGGTATAAAGGAACTTTATGTATTCTACTTCAAAAGAACAGCTTGTGCATCATGTTTGGAGCCATTTAAGAAAGTGATTTTGGTGTTCTAGGTTTACTGCATGCAACTTGGCCTTCTCTGGTGGCGTTTTGCAGTATGCTGCTCACCTTCCTTGTCTAATGGTCTCACTAGGATTTGGAGGAACTTCACATGCCTTGAGGGGACCCACAGTTTGAAAGCATTGCTCAAGCAAGGCTTGAAGGCTGACAGTTTTGTTTAAAGAGTGGGCAGACAGAACTGTGTAATGAGGCGCGTGCAACGCCCAGCCCTCGCTGCTTGGCAAAGCCAGCGTCGTTCTGTGAGCACCAAATGCACCTCAGCAGACAGAAGGACAGAAATGAGCTTTTGAACTTTCTAATGGTTATGGTAAAAGCTCCACATGTTCAGTGCTCTGAATCTTCAAAGCATCTTCGGACTACGTTTATTAGATGGAAAATAGCTGTTAGCTCACAATGAATTCTGTGAATGGGTAATCATAAAGATTTTAGGGCTTGAATCATTGTTTATAGGTTAGGACTGTGATTATTTTACATTGTTTTAGCTTAGAAAGGTGCTAAGAACTTCATAGATGGAAGTGCATCCAAGGCATAGTCCATATAGTCCATATAGTTCAAGGCAATCTTGGTAGTGGTCTCTAAGCTTGCCTTTCTTAAAGCTATGAAATAGATGAATGTACACAAAATATGGTACTGTGATTGCTTTCCTCCCTGTGTTATAATGGAAAAACTTGGTTCGTATGTCAAAATTCTGTTGATTTTAAAACTCTCTTACTGGTTCTGTGCATGGGTGTAAGGGTCTGTCTTGGTAATTAGGTTAGTTGAGATCTAGGAATGTTGTATGTCTGAAAAAGAGTAAAGGGGAAACAGTGGGGAAGGAGTCAGGAAAGAACAGTTATTAACTACCTGAGTGTGGAAAACTGGAAGTAAAATGTTAGTTACAGCTGTATGCTTCCTCAAAACCTCCAGATTTCTAGTGAATCTTTAGAATACCTTCAAAATAGAAACATCCTGCCTTTTTATACATGGATCAGATGGCCTCAGCAAATCAGTGGGAGCTGAGAGTGCTCTGCAAATCCAGGTTTGCAAAGGAGGAGTTGGGCACTTGGCAGAAGTTGCCAAGTGAGTTAGATGGAGCAGGCATGAAAGGTCAGGAGTTCCTGTTTCTCAGCAGGATTTTCAGCAAGGTAAAATGAATTTGTAGATGCAGTGGAATTTTTGGGGGGTTCAGCACTGCACAGTGTTCAGCCTTGTTTGCTATGTTGAATAGTTAATGGTTCTCTGTCCTCCAGACTTCTCAGGGGGATCGGGTCTGACAAAAGATTCACCATACTTAGAGTGTCATGTGAGTTTGGGTATTTTGTTCATGGATCAGTTTGAGGAATTGATGCCCATACAAGATCCCTGCTGGCATTGTAGGTATCTGCTTAAATGTGATGCAAACACACACAGCTTCACTACTTGTAGCTTATGAGTGTTTTTCAAATTTGACTTATTAATTCATTTTACCTAAATTTTTGGAGGAATTAGTTGGAGAATAGAGAACTAATTTTTTATTGCATTAAAAGCAGTAATTTAGCATGGAAGAGACTACTTTTGGTGAGATTTTTTGTGAGATGCCTACAACTTTGGGTGTTTATTAGTCCAGAACCATTCATTCTTGACAAGTAGCTTTCTTTTTCTTAAACTATTTCTTTGGTTCCTCCATGGGAAATATAAGGCCTTGCTAATATCAGCTGTTTGGTTCTTTAGGGGGAAAGGAGGGAAGAGATGGGAAAAAAGAGTGGTATTGAAGAAGAGTAGGTTTACTCTTTCTACACATAGTAAAGAATTAATCACAAGCACACACCCTTAGAAGATTCATTAATCATTATACATAAAGTCCAGAGGGGGAAAGTTTTACATCACTTTGTACACTGAAATTCAGATTCTTTGTTTTGAAAGCTTTCCTGTACATTGATATTTGCATGGATGGTGACAGTGTGAGCACCATACCCTGATGTCACACTCACTGACAAAGTGGGGAATACTTTGACTGCAGTTTAAACCAGATGCATATGGGCAGAAGGTAGTTTTAAGTTTAGAATTTGCAGCTATATGCTGCTTTATATGAGTGACTATC